TTGAAAGTGCCCATAATTTTGAAACTAATTTGCACACCAAGGAATGAAATTAGAAACAATAAAAAGCTGATCTGTCCTTGACTCATATGCTATAAACTACAGAAAATAAACTTTTAAATGTCCCAGAAAATGTTACAGTGGGCATTATATTTTTTTCTCCCTTTCTCTTTAGAAGAATTCTTGTTGCATACTATGAAATAATGCCATGAGCTAGTTTTTCATGAGCTCTAAGTGAAGTTTTGTGTGCATATTTAGTCCCACAAACAACACATTCAAAGTTCATAGGCTTCCCATGCATAGCCATATGACCCTCTAAATGAACTCTTCTTTGAAATCCTTTGCCACATATTTCACAATACACTTCATACAGTCCCATATGTTTGAACTTCATGTGGTTACAAAGTGAAGAATAGGTAATGTACTTGTGGTTGCAAATTGGACAAATAAAGCGTTGCAAACTCTCATCATAAGGACAATCTGCTTTGGTTGGAATCTGTATATTGTTCTCAGAACAAAATTTAGATGTATTGGAGGATGTTGGCTTATCTTTAAAATGAAAGGAAAATTGATTCTTTGTGTGTGTGCCATAACCATATGGCCCAACAAGTTTAGAAGGAGGTAATGAGATGTCTTGTGTAAAATCTGAAACAAAAAATTGTAGATACACAGATGTCGTCTACAATGATAAATATATGTTTACATTCAATTTGAACATATAAAAAATTCTTACATTGATTAAAAAATGAATACTTAATTAGTACAGCAAGAGCTGCCATCTATTTTAAATAACACAATTTTAATGCTGAATTTTTTTTTAATTATTACTATTGTAATACTTATTAGTAGACAGTTTTTAAGAAATAAACTTGTAACAAGGCATCAATAAATTATGTGTTAACATTTATTTAAAATTTGTAGCTATATTTACATTGATACAACATCAGCAATGAACCTATTTCATTAAAAAATTAAAATACAATGCCAATAAATATATTCACAATTTTTAATTTAAAAAATGCAATATAAAATCAAGATCAAGTATTCTATCCATATAATAATAGTGAATCATGATATGGCAGAAAAATGCTAAAAACAAAGAAATTAGATTAAAAAATAATTGTATGATGGCAAATGACAACAATAAGCATGCATGGAATTAATTAATGTAAATTCTAAATCCTGCTAGTATACAAATACAACCTCAGGGGGAAAAAATGAAACAATGAGTACCATTACCAATACTATAATATTATTGGTAATCACAAATTATATGACCTCTAGACTTGGAAGTTCTCAATTTCATTACAGCAGATCAGTTCATGAACTTTTGGACTTAAGAATTGTGAAAATATCTATTTAACATGTTAAGCGAGTTTGGGCAGGACTTAAATCTATTGTTTAAAACCAGGCCTGATTGCAAAAGTATTTTAGAAAGAGGCAAGAAAAAGAGGAAAATAAACAGAAAAGAAATAGTTACAAATGCATGAAGTTTAAAATTGGCAGCTGCCTGTTAAGTAAAAAAAAGTGAGTATTTAATAAATAGAAACTTGTGATACTGAAAAATACTCAAAGCTGATTCCAAATGAGTATCAGTATCACACAAACTTGAAAAATAAAAAATTCATTAAGTTCATTGTGCATCTACAATTATCAAACTGCGTGGATATTTATTTACAGAACCAAAAAGTTGATGAAAATAAATTGATAAAATTTCCTTAATTTGCTGAAAATAGTACTAGTTAGTAGACCAATATTTTAAAATGTTATATGATGCATTCATATTGTAGATTTATAGGTTGCTTATAATTATTCTCTTAAAGTTTTATAACTAACAGGTCTGATTTATTCAGTTGAATTTGATACTGAGTGTGGCATTAACAAACAAATTAGTGTTTAAAATCAAAGGTAGTAACTTTTTCTAATAAACAAAAGCCCCGGCTGCCTTGTATATCTCCCTTGAATAATATTGGTCACTTTCTACATATGGGCTGGACAGTCAATTGCATCACAACAACACTTCTTAAAAACTAACCCATCATATCAGTCATAGCACCATAGCCATTTAAAAACAAAAGTTTTTCAAAAATAATTTTCTAGGCTACCCCACTTATGGATACCTGTGAGAAAGTTTTGAAAAAAATAGTCACAAACATAAGCACAGATTTCTGAAGTATAGTTTTTGTTGGGGTTTTTTTCTTCTAATTTAGATTGTTAATTTAACTTTAAAAATGAAATGGACTTATTTATTTGTTCACTTGACTTGTGCTATCCTTAGTAGTTTATTTGTACAATGCCTCTGCTGTTGAATCAGACTTTATTTTAAAAGAAAAACTAAACGATATTTTTAAAAAGTTCCAGTCAATACTGAATTTTTTTTAGCAATTACATTTTTTATTTTATTGAATTATTAGAAGTATTGTTTCCTTTTTTGTGAGAACAAGTTATTTTTTTAAAGATATTAGTTATCAATAAATTTAATCTCATACATAATTAAACCCTTTTCCTATAATAATAAATGATGCTTTTTATTAGACTTTTTAAAATTAGTTTTATGCCAAGACTGTCGAGGCATTATGTAAAAAATGAGAAGGCATTTTGTAAAAAATGAGAAGGCATTATGCAAAAAATGTGAGAAAATAAGGCTTCATATTAATTACAACCTAAAATGTAAAAGAAGATTGTAAATTACACCTCAATTTATAAGCATTTTAGGCTACGTTGCATGTGGTGCACTCTTTAATGTATGCGACTGACAAATTGTAATTATATATTTAAAACACTGACAAATTGTAATTATATATTTAAAACACTTCTCAAATGCAAGTGTAAAGTATTAAGATACAACAAAAGTACTGGTATTTGGTAATGCTGTTGTATTCAATGTTAACAACAGGATCAGGAAACAAAGATGCTAAAATAACACAACTGAGTTTTAAAAGTTGAAAAGCCAAAGTTTTAACTATTAAAATTATCAAGGCTTTTTAGACCTGATTTGTATGTAAGTAAATCACTAGAAAAAAGTTCAAGAGAATCAAGTGAGCAGCCATGTATTATTTAGGCTTTTATAAACGTGTTATTAACCTTTTTTGATCATACAGTGCATTATCATTGAGTATTGACCTACTTGAAGCATAATGTACAACTTCCGTTCAACAGAAATCAATCAAAATTTGATCAAGTCAAGAGAATCTTATACTTCTATATGAAATTTTGTCTACCTTACTGAAACAATACTCAAAATATTGTGTAAATGTAGGCCTACACAGGCAGACAAAGTTGCAAAACCTTGCAGATTAAGCTAAGTTGCAAAACCTACATTTTTATGGATCCAGATGTAAAATGTCAATATTTGTCAAATTCTCAATTTAGAATTTTTGCCTGATTAATTTCATTATTTTTATTCTGTAAATACTAAAGTAGAGGCGTAAAACATCTGTTATTCAGCATGATAAAAATATTTAGTGAATTCTGAGTGTTCTTCTTAAAATTGTTTAAACAGGAAGTTAAGTTGAAAGATAACAGACTAATTATTTTAATAGTAACTTCAATAAACTGGTAGTGATCTCCCCTAAACTTGCTCGAATATTCTTATATAAAACAACAGGGGATGGTAACTCGGGACATAGTTATGATTTTTAATCCATTTTAAATACTTAAACTTTTTAAAATAGAATAGAATCTCATAAAAAGAGAATTGCGCACCAAGCAAACGCAGAATAAAGATGTGTAAAATAGTGCGGAATATTATTAGTACTTTATAAATTCACATGCGTTTTTTGAGAAATCTGAAATAGCGTAAATTAGTACTTCCGGTCAACGGAAATTACTCGAAACTTGAGAGAAGGTAGAGATATAGATCTTTTACTTACATGTGAAATTTCATTTATCTATCTGAAATAGTACTCAAGTTATAGGCTTTTGAAAAATTCAAAGTAGAAAAAGTACCACTTTCGGTTATCGGAAAACGCTTGGATACGGAGCTACGATTTTGATAAAATACTTGTATATAAAATTTCATCAACCTAGCTGTAACGGTACTCAAGTTATCGTGTTTACACACACAGACAGACAGACACACACACACAGACATACGGACAAGATTGCAAAATTGTTTTTCCTTATCAGTGAGGTGTAAAACGGAGAGATTTGTAAAAATCTCGATTTTTTTTTTTGCGCGATTACAAGACTTTCGCTATACTAAGTATATACGAGAAAGTAAAAATGTAATTAGGGGTAGTTTCCTGTTTTAATAAGTTTTTTTAGAAAGTACTATGTATACTGAGATGTGATATAAAGTTATAGATAAATGATGGAAATGAACTAAAGAAAAACACTAAACTTTAAGTTACGTTTTAAAAATATCTAACTTAGTAATGAACTGGAGCCTGAAGTATAAATCCAATATTTTAACACAACTACATTTCAAGCTATAGCAATTACTTCAATAATGTTACAATCAATCATTATAATTTTAAAGTCGTCTTATTTTTTGTGAGCATGCCTCCTAATAATGTCACATTACCAAAAATGATATACAAATTTTAATTGGCCACGTAAAAAATAAAATTAATTGAGTTTTGTAACTAGTAGGTTATTTAAAATTTAAAGGCCGTAACTACTATATAGTACACAAATACTGACACCAACAAAAATGTATTTTCCTAATATTAACTCATGTTTCTCATTTTTCAAAGATGCACAATGTACTAATGAAATTTTACCAATTTAGTAATACGCACCAGTCAGTCTGACATTTTATGCTTTTAATCCTGAAAGTCATGTCTACCATTAAGCATTTGTATTAAATTAATGGTTTCAAAACTTTACATGCATCAAAGAAAATATGTAGTCTTGGTGTCTATTCATTTTTTTTAACAATAAAACTTCCCATTTATCATTGCCTTTTCATTAAACTTACAATTATAATAAATTCAGAGTCGTATACAGCATAAAATGTCATTCCTTTGACTGGCTAAGTAAAATTTTAAAAATGTACTTACGAGACTCTGCAAACATTGCCTGTACATCTTCATCTTCATCATCAATTTCAATAACTTCAAATTGTCCTGTATCACTAGACCCTTCACCAGCATCAGAATAAACTGATTGAGGATATGCTCCTTCTTCTCCAGTTTCATCATAGTCTGCTGGCATATCTGAACCAGAGGCTATATTTTCCCCAGCAGTATCATCATGAGCATCAGCAGAGCTACCACTTAAATGGCCACTTTTATGTTTGAAAGAGTCTGAGGTAGATGCTTCAGATTGAATACCACTTTGTTTTTCCGTTTGTTCAGAAGCAAATTCTTCTGATGATGGCTGAAGAAATGTTCCTTTGAAATCACTTTGATTGTCACCGATTGCATCATCAGATGCAGGAGCTTCTCCATCAGTAAATCCTGATGCATCTGGGTCAGTTTTGATAGCTGATAATGATTCGGAATTTGATTTTTCTTCATTTTGGTTTAATTGATCAGAATCAAATGTCACTGTTTCACCTTCACTTTCCATTACCTCCTTTTTGATATTTACTTCCCCGTCACCACTGATTGTCTCTGAACTTAAAGGGGTTTTAAAATTAGCATCTGCAGAACTCTGGATTGTGGAAGATTGTTCGTTTAAAGATGATGAAAATGGGGGTCTACCCTTGTGTTTTTTTGGGGAAATTCTCCAGTCTCTATCCATTGCAGCAGTTCTTTTTTGAGAGCCTCTTATACCATATGATTGATGAAATGGAACTGATGATCGTGGAAGAGATCCATGGAAAGTACCCCTTAACCGACTTTGAAATGGAGGTGGAGAAGCGAGTTCTGCAACAGGGGAACATGCACCATCACGGGTATGTTTGTTCTGTTCTTTTTTTGCAAGAAAGCTGTTACTTACAAATGTCATGGAATTTGTTGTACTTTTTAATACTTTTTCATTTAGCACATAGTCAACTTTACTGCCACTATCAATATTGACATTTATATATCCGATGATTTCTATGCCAGAATCAAAATCCATGCACCCATGACATAAAGCTTGAAGTGATTTGCTTAAACTAGTAATAAATCTATTGGCAACAGCCACATCCATTGGCTGAATTTCTGGCATTTTGTTTCTTTAACTGTGAAAATCTAAAAAGAAAAGAGAAAATACTTGTAGTACAATATGAACAAACAATGTGTATTATTTAATACTACTTACACTATTAGGCTATTCAATAATAATAAATAAAACCTTTACAGCATGTTTAAATAGCTGTATCCATACAATAATTTTTAAAACATGACATGATACATTATTAAAAACTTATTATAAAATCCAAAAATGGTAGAAATAGAAATAACATCAAAATATGCTTTTTCACTTCAATGTTTAAAATATATTTTAAAATAGTAATCTATATATATAATTCTCTTCTGGGAGCCGTTAGAAAACAAGCTGTAAACGCGCTCCCTACCATCCCCACCCCTACAGTGTCTTAGTGAGCTGTGGTTCACGCTGTTTACCTTCGTGGAGTCGGGTTTAGTGACGGCTATTAGGGGCAGATAATTTAGTTTGAAACGATTTTAAACGTTGGGGGGGAAGGGGGGGGGGGGGGGGGGTTATGGTCCTTAACGAGCTACTTATAGTGTTTTAAAGAAATATTTTCAGTGTCAGCGTTGGTACTGTCGAATTCACAAATTATGAATTACTGAAAAGTAGAAAAAACAACAACTAAATAGCGGCGTATGTTATGCTGCGGGCCGGCTCGTATTTTTTATTAGTAAAATTTTATTGAGTGCTGAAAAAGGTTCTAAAATTCAAAGTATAAGGTAAAGCAGGGCACTAAGAGCTGTGTGGTATTAGGACCCGATCGGCACCCCCACCCCCACAAAAAAAACCAATAAAACTACTAATCTACTTCTGATGTAACAACCACTGCTGTTCTTTGATAACAGAGAAGCAAAGGATTCATTTTATGTAATTTATGATCTACATGGCACATCAGGGAGAAGATGAGACAGGAATTAATCCCATTGCTCTTTCCCAAAAATTATCTCCATAAAACCATTTTGTTAACTTTTTTCCAAGTAGACATAACTTAGGAAACTTTATTTTGTAATTAAAGAAATGAGTTTTTCAAGCCCATTCTTTGATCCGGTATTAAAGCATTGGTTGCTGTACATTTTAACATCATTTTTATAACTATGGCTAGAATAGTTTTATATTGATGAATTTTTTTCCCAAGGTGATTGTTGATGCCAAAACAAAATCACTGACATTTGTCTGGTTTTACCATGCTATAAAGTTTTTATCATTATCAGAGTAAAACTTGACTGATCAATATCATAATGGTTTTATTTGTAAGATTATAACTAAATCTTTAATCTACATGAATACATTAAGTTTGTCCACCAGCTTACATGTTCAGAAAAGTTAGAACAGATATTGTTATGGGGTTTTTATTGGCCTCTGTGCAAGTTTCTCATTTATTAGACCACTGAATGTGACACTGGTATAGGAATAGATAACACAAAATGTATTAATTGTTAAACAGACTTGTGTCTAAGTTATAGAAATACAATTCTAACCTTTTAAAAAGCGAAAATTCAGACATCTGATGTTAGCCAGGTAATTTTTAAAATGGTACACATACTTATTACCCCTAAGGGGCAATACAACCAACTCAGCCTCCACCTGTTTCTAACCAACCATAGAACTTCTTATCTCTTTGCAAGTAATAGGGATAACTGTTCTTAGATCTCAACTAATCTGGGGTGGCATGTTATGTAATTTATGACCCCCCATGGTCCAGCAGGGAAGTGATCAGACAAATTAATACCACCGCTCCCCCCTCACAATTTCTCAGCCCCCACCTGTATCTAACACACCATAAAACATCCCTCTGTAGGTAACATGGACTTAGTCCATAGATCTCAGCCAACCAGAGATAGCATCTCTTATGTAATTTATGGCCCTCAGGGTCCAGCAAGGCAAACAAAGGGGAAATCAGTACCAATGCTCTCCCCTCAACATTTCTCACCTCCATGTCATGTTATGTAATGTAGAGCACACATGGATTATCAGGGGAAAGCATCAAGGCAGATTAGCTAGTACCTCCCCATTTTCCAATGTGCCTACTGTAAACTAATAGTATAGACTGTAGTGTAGGCCCTATGTAGACCTGCAATTGTATGAATTGTGGACTGAGTCCAATGGGGCCTAGTGATATATGTAGTGTTATCAATGTGTGTGTACTGTGTACACAGCATTAACTATTTTGGGGTTAGAAATTAATTATTTTTATTGTGGAGTTATTCTAAACTTAAAACTAGGAGAGTAGATCTAATACTTAATGCCCTGTGACCCGGCTACATTTGCCCCAAATGATTTTGGGGGTATATGGTTAGTGATTACTGATTAGGCCTACAACATAAATCTACTACACTACATTGTCATTAATTAATTACTAATTACTAAATTAGGCCACCTTTTCAAAATCCACTGAGGTTCAGCTAGATCTAGATCTAGAAGGCTGTCTAGATCTTGGGCCTAAGTCGAGTCTACTCTAGCAGCTAGATCTATGAGTGAAGTTCCACAACCGGTCACACATAGCGAACTCCCGACTTTCATCGGGCGCTATTTTGCAACCGTTTAACACAGAAACAAACCCAAAGTACTATATTATTCCTCTGCCTTTCTACTCTTAATATGTATCAATCATTTTATATTCCTATGCATTCAATTTCAGATATTCTTGTTTTAGTGACGTGCTACTTGCGATATTTTTTTCACCTCTTTTTTTCCCTGCGGCCACCTGAACCAGCTAGCATAACGATCGTATTTTATACGTTTTAATCCTAGTTTAATAACTAAAATAAATATTTTACACTTTTAAGCGTGTTGTTGATTGTATTATTAATTAATAGATTGCAAAACCAAATTAAAAACATGTTAATTAAATTAATTAACGACATTAAAAGTTGACCCAGTGATGACTCAAGGGACGCAACTATAATAATCATAACAAAGGGACGTAACAACCACTAACAAGACATAACGTAACATTTGCTTAGATATGCTTGTGTGTAGAGACACAAACTAGATTTAGAAGAAGTAGATGATCGAAATAATTTAAAACAACAGAAAAAAATAGAAATTATACAGATTCTAGGCTTAGCTTGAAATATAGAGCATCTAGAACTAGGCTAGTCTAGCTCAAGTCGTTGGTTACACAGCGATGTGAAACCACCCAAATCGTTACCCAAGCTGCGGCCACCCCTATTCACCTATCAGGTTGCTTTATTAGCCTTATCTATCGTATGTACAGTGTCCCGCACATATTGTAGAAGCTATTTATAGTTAAACTAGTTATAAAAAGCTCTGATTGGTTGGTTTTATTCATCTCAAGTTCCAAAAATAATCTAATTTATAGCAATGGAAAAAAACAAGGGGGGATAACTCTTCCCAATAAAATGCTTGTGTTATGGTTTACTATGGGTAATCGTTTCCAAGCAAAACACATAAATTTTCATCCTCTTTACGACTACCACAAAAAAAAAATTATTTAGGGTAAAGGAGGGCGTTAAGAGCCACACTTTTTAGCACCTGTATTTTTTTCAAGATTTCTACTATTGAAAATATGGCAAAATTATTCGAACATATCTTACACAATATAAAAATAATAACAAAGTCTATTAAATATACTTTAAATGGGTTTAATTGAATATTTTTATTGTCATACCCCCGAAATCAGCATTTGGGGTGAAAGGAGCCGGGCAGTGGGGCAATAAGTATTATCTCCTAGTTTAGACTAACTCCGCAATAAAAATAATTTCTAACCCCAAAATAGTTAATGCTGTGTACACACACTTTAACTGATACTAGCTATCACTAGGCCCCAATGGGCCCATTCTACAATTGATACAATTGCAGGTGTACATAGGGACTACTGTCTAGTAGTTTACAATAGGCACATTAGTATGCCTAGTGTGTAGCTAGTATACTAGTGTGTAGCTGTCCAGAGTTAACATTCTTGTATGTAAAAAGGGGTGGTACTAACTAATCTGCCTTAATGCTTTCCCCTGATAAGCCTTGTGTGCTATACATTACATAACATGACATGGAGGTGAGAAATGTTGAGGGGAGATCAGTGGTACTGGTTTCCCCTTTGTTCTCCTTGCTGGACCCTGAGGGCCATAAATTACATAAGGAGATGCTATCTCTGGTTGGCTGAGATCTAAGAACTAAGTCCATGCTACCTACAAAGAGTTAAGTTTTATGGTGGGTTAGATACAGGTGGGGGCTGGGTATCATGGGGGTGAGAAATTGTGAGGGGAGAGCATTGGTACTGATTCCTCTTTGGTCTCCACCCTGCTAGACCAAGAAGGTCATATATTACATAACATGCCACCCCAGATTGTCTGAGATCTGTAACTGTAATCCATGTTACATACAAAGAGATGAAGTTTTATGGTGGGCCAGAAACTGGTGGGGGCTGGGTATCACGGGGGGGGGGGGGGGGGGGGGGGGGGGTAAGAAATTGTAAGGGGGGAGCAGTGGTATTAATGTGTCTGTTTACTTCCCTGCTGGACCACGAGGGTCATAAATTACATAACATACCACCCCAGATTGGCTGAGACCTAAGAACATTTATTCCTGTTACCTACAAAGAGATTAGAAGTTTTATGGTTGGTTAGAAACACGTGGGGGCTGAGTCGGCTGTATTGCCCCTTAGGGGTAATAAGTACATGTACCATTTTAAAAATTACCTGGCTAACATCAGATGGCTGAATTTTTACTTTTTAGCAGGTTAGAATTGTATTTCTATCATTTAGACACAAGTCTGTTTAACAATTAATACATTTTGTGTTAACTATTCCTATACCTGTGTCATATTCAGTGGTCTAATAAATGAGAAACTTGCACATAGGGTTTCAAGAGCCACATAACAGTATCTGTTATAACTTTTCTGAACAGGCAAGCTAGTGGACAAAATTAATGTATTCATGTAGATTTAGTTATTATCTAACAAATAAAACCATTATGGTAATGATTACTCAAGTTTTACTCTGATCATGATAAAAACTTTATAGCATGGTAAAATGGGACAAATGTCGGCCATTTTGTTTTGGCACCAATAATCACTGTGCAAAAAAAATTCACCAAAATAAAACTATTCTAGCCATAGCTATAAAAATAGTGTTAAAATGTACAACAACCAATGCTCTAATACAGGAACAAAGAATGGGCTTGAAAAACTTATTTGTTTTATTACAAAGTGAAGTTTCCCAAGTTATGTCTATTTGGAAAAAAAGTTCACAAAATGGTTTTATGGAGATGAGAAATTTTAAGGAAAGAACAGTGGGATTAAATTCTGTCTCATCCTCTCCCTATTGGACCAAGTGGGTCATAAATTACATAAAATGAATCCTCTGCTTCTCTGTTATCAAAGAACAGCAGTGGTTGTTACCTCAGAAGTAGATTAGCATTGTTATTGGGGGTTTTGTGGGGGTGGGGTGTTGATTGGGGCTTAATACCACACGGCTCTTAACGCCCTCCTTTACCCTATGGTTTATAATAATTGTAAGTAAAAATACTCTAATATAATTTACACAACAATCTCAACATTTGTTGCGTATTTAGTTAAAAACGCGGTAGAAAATGTAATTATAAAAGAAATTTATGCAAATTTCGCCGTAGGCTATTCTCTGGTCGGCCTCTCCTCAGTAGGCATTGTCCGAACATATTTTGTGTTGTTGACGTCATGCGTCGATGACAGGCTTTCAACCTTGTCGGCTTTCTGTTTTGATCCTAAGTTTTGTTATGTAATGAGCGTGATAAATGTGGGCAGTAAAGGTGGTTGAACTAAACATAACTATTGTTGCCACGAGTTGAGGGCAGCAAATCAGATGAACTACCATTTCACGGTAATTTAATGTTGGTATTAAAAAAAAACAGGATTAAAACCTTGGACTTTGGAGCATTCTATTAAACGCTACTAATCTTAAGTTTAACATAATTACAATCTACATACTTCATACTAAATATTTTTAGATGAATTATAAAAATTAAGCGTATAGGCCTACAGCCTACACACATTACATTTAATTAATCCAAAGTTAATTTGCACTCTCTAAATATTTAATACATAAAAGTATTAACAAATATCATGAAAATATATATTTGTGACTTTTTTTCCTGTGACTTTTTTTCCTGTGATTTTTTTTCCTGTGACTTTTTTTCCTACAATCGAAAGCCTAGCACTAGCTTTTCTAGAAAATCTAGAATAGACGAGTGATTTCGCTTTCCAGTAATATGCCTTGATTTACAAAAAAAAAATTGAAATTCATCAGTAAGGTCATACATGAGCAGTATCATAAATGTATGGCAGATCAAGCTTTTCGACTACGACTACGAGAGAAGAACACAAGATGGAGAATAGTTGCGGCCTGGGGCTTAGCAGTGCAGAGCACGGAGCGACGAACGACCGCTTGCCTCGAAGAGATTAGAAATAAGTTTAGGCCTACATTAAAATAAATAGTCTGTGTCAATAGATAGACCTCTAGTTAATGCTATCAAGATAATGTTACCTCTATTTGAAAATGGAGCAAATCTTTGTAATTGTAAAACTAATACATCGAATCCAAAAATAAATGAAATAAAGGACGCCAAATCTACGCCATAACGGACTATTTCTACACCGAATTTGCATTGCTGATGGCCAGATTTTAGAGGGGCATTAAATCAAGACAAAACTATTACTAGATCTACTACAACTAGCCTAGTCTAGGCCTAGGCTACCTAGAAATAATTATTTAGGCTAATTAAACTTATAGGCCTATTCTTCTTTAAAATGCGAGGAACATTTAAACAAACTGATAATTCGCAAATACATTATATTTAGCTAAAAAACGGTGTGTCGATTAGAACACCGTAAGAGTTATGCTGAACATTGTTATTCTCATAGATAAACTTTATATTTGATGGTGAAATAGTATATTTGCATTATAGAACTATCGTGTCCCAGTTGTATTATACAGCAATGTAGATCTATAAATTTTGTAAATGAAAATATGTGATTAGACTTTACGTGTGCGATAATTATTTAATCTCAAGCGTTTATTAAAATAAATAATGAGGGTTTTGACATTTCACGAAAAGGAAGGGGTAAAAATAAATACATTTGATATTAATATGAACATTTGAATACACATTTATTTAGCTACCAGTCAAAGTTAAGAGAAACTCAGCATAAATTCGAAGCCAAAGAAGATGTTGCATAAAGTAAAAGATCTTGGCCTACTCTATATGTTTTGCAAAAAAAACTGAAATTATACCACATGGCTCGGAAAAAAAAATATTTTATTGTGAAAATTGAACTTGAGATCATGTTAGGCATAGATATGTGTGTGAAATAAGCGTAGTTGTAAAGAAAAACAACACGCATGTACAGAGCTTCTTTACATGACAAATTATCCTCTAAATGCAAATTATTTGCCAACCTGGCAATCTAGGACTAGCACTCATTCGCCTAGGCCTAAGCCCTAAGGCTGCTAGGCTTATTAGCCCAGTGGTTCTCAGTGTGGGCGATATCGCCCCCTGGGCGATAGGGGAGGGTGGGGAGGGTAAAAAGTGTCTTAAAAATGCATATGGCTGTCTTTCTTTACAAATTTAATTTAAAAGTTTCACTACAATAAAAAAGCAACTTTTTTGTGGCAAAACTGAGGTAAAACATAAACTAGGAGACGGGGAATTTATGTATCTTCCTAATCAAAGCACAATATAACAACAAGGTAAAGACTTAGGCCTAATTATTTAATATTGGCACTTTAATAATTTTCATTTTTTTTTAAATCAACGATATAAAGATGTTTTAGAAACGTATTTAGACCCTACCCCTAAACTCAGAAGTTTTTTCATCCTTGTTCAAATAAAAATTATAAGATCAGCCGATAGCCACAAATAATAAAAGGAATTTTGAATTCATAGACTGTTACCTCCAGTTAGATTGCAGATACCAGAAGTAGATCTGTGGTTATGGACAGAAAAGGGCTGGGGTGCGGACAGCGATTGCAGGAAGAAAAACAAGTTAATAAAAAGTCTAGTGACAATTTAAGCGCAATTTCCTTAATTAATTTTTTGTGACCGAACGAAAGGATATTTTTGAAAACTTTCTGCGGCAATATTGTTCTAAATTATGGCAGGAATCGATTGGTAAATGTTTCAAGTCGCTAAGTGGTCTGGTTGCCGAGATATGGGCCAAAAACTGCATTTGTTCGAGTTTTTTTTTTGGCTTTTCCGGGAAATCCAGGAAGGAATTCCGGGAATTTTTTCACAATCATCCTCGGAACTTGCTTAACATATTTGCTTTTGGAACTAGTCCTCGATATTGCTTCGTTGAGGAGGAGATACGACTTAAAGCTGCGGACACACATCCATCCAGAAATAACGAATTAATAATCGCAATTGTCAGTATGGAAATTGCGCTAAAAAAACACTGGAAAAGAAAACAGAAAAAAAGTCAAAGGAAAAAATTCACAAACGTATATTTTAATGGAAATTGTAAATACTTATTATAAGTATTATGCAAATCAACTTACAATTGATTAAATGCAATGTAAACATGTTAGATGTATACAGTGTTTCTTCCAGACTTTTTTCTCCGGGTGGTGGGTGCACTTGGTATTTTCGGGAGGGGGGGGGGGGTGGACAAAATTTTCCGGGGCGGACACTGGTAAAAGAATATATTTTATATATATTATAAATTCCATTTCGTTGGGGAGGGGGGCGGTAGACTTTCTTCGCGGGGAGGGGGCGCGGAGCCACACCCCCCCCCCCCCCCCGAAGAGAGGCCTATAGAAAAAACTCTGGATATATATGCGTGGTTTGTATCCATAATTTTAGCACACATTCACACATAAACAATTTTTAGTATAAAGTTTGTAAGATTTAATTGTAATTCCGTTTTACATACAATATTTAATAGAGTTTAATACAATGTTCGAACCTTCTCGGTTTCACTCGTGTTTGTTAAAAAGACTAACTTAAAATTAACGTAATGTGGCATACAGACGTAGTTACTTTGACTTGCTGCCCTCAACTCATCGCAACAATAGTTCAACCACCTTCATCACGCTCATTACACAACAAAGCATAGGATCAAAACAGAAAGCCGACACGGCACAAAGGCTGTGGTTGATGCAAAACGTAAACAACACGTACAATATGGACGGACAAAGCCGACTGAGGAGAAGCCGACCAAGTTAAGGCTTACAGCAAAAACATATGCAAACACAGTTTATAAATATATGCTACCAAAGAAATCAGTGTTTCTTCCAGACTTTTTTCTTCGGGGGGGGGGGGGGGGGGGGGGGGCGGACACTTTATCTCGGTAGAAGTAGAAAATGCATTGGCTTGTGGTGAGATTTCCCACCAAGAACCAGCTAAAGGGTCCGGGTTGGGCCTCCGTCCATTTGGCGATTTTAGGGTTCCGAGGCCGTGTGATCTATCGTATACAGGAAACTCTATTCACATTTGGCAAAAAGTGTGTGTGTGTGTGGGGGGGGGGGGGCTTCTAAGGTTAATTCCCATTATGTGGAGCAAGGCTCTTATTTAACAGGTGCTTATGAATCATTTTGAAACGCTTTATGTATGTTAAAAACATTACTAGAGGCTCTTAAGGGGCCAGTCTAGTCCCCCCCCCCCTACCCATGTACATGGACGGCACGCCACTAAGCAAATTCTGAATAAAGTGCAAGAACGCCTATTAACATCCTTGATAACTAGCTTACAAAGATGCTCCAAATCTGCTGGCCTGCAAGAAACACATTCAACTTACAGCTACATTTTTAAAAAAAAAACACGTTGGGCATTTGTCGCCAATTTTTATTATTATTATTATTTTTTTTTTGACATTTATAATTTTTTTTTAAAAACTTCGGTGGAGTCTAAGTTTTCTTTCCTTTACAGTTGCCAACCCACCTTTTTTTTACACTGATTTATAGGCTAACATCTGGACTTATAAAGGGTGCCATATAGGGAATAACGAAGGCCTTATCCTTTATTTAATATCAAGTCTAAATCCGGTCCTAATAGATATATTTCTATATAATTTATATTTCGTTGGGGGGGGGGGGGGGGGGAAGGAGAGGTGGTATATGCTCTTCGGCGGGGACTTCGGCCACCCCCCAAAGAGATGCCTGGAAGAAACTTGCCCCCAAACCGATATTTGATAGTTAATTCGGCCCTCGGGCTGAAAAATTTGGAGGCCCCTGACTTAGAGGTCGTCCATAAATGATGTCACACTCGTAGGGGGGGGGGGGGGGAGTCCGTAATTTTGGGACGGTGTGTGATGAGGGTGGGGGGTGTTCAGATGGTGTGACGTCACACTTTTGCTTTATAAGAAAGCAATGACAGAAAACTAAAAATTATTTTAGCCGTTATTTCGCGTTTCAGAAAACTGTTTTAATAAATTGTTTTAGGAATTGATGAAAATACTCTATGTTGAGAGTTCAGAAAAGATTTTGGAAAAATATCGTATTTTAAGAAAAATTTAACTGCTATTTTGAGGGGGTTGTCGGCTGAAGTGTGACGTCATTTTGTGACGATGTGTGACGGAGGGGAGATAAAAATAGAATGCATCTACACAATATACTGTCCACTTATTTTAATGTCCACACATTTTATTTGCTGTTTTTGTTTCCCTTTAATTTTTCCTCTACTGCATTTTTCTACACACACACACCTTTCACAAAGACAGGACCTGTACACAGTTTGTGCACATCCATATGTACACAATTAACCAGCCTTGCTTCTTATTTCTAAAACCCTGCTTAAATTGGACGTCCACACGTTAAAATTAATTGACATGAAAATATCCCACTTACTACTTATCTAGACAACAAACAAATTTTTTAAATTTCGATAGCATGCAGACTTATCCATTTAAACAGCTGTGCTAGGGTTTAATTCAAGAAAATAAAACAACCCTTCAGTATGTCACACATTTGTAACAAGGGAAGTTCTGAACTAAACAAATAATAAAAAAAACAGAAAATCATGTACTCAATGTGGCCTTAGATGTAACTTTTGTATTAGATTAGAATGCATCAAAACCTCTCCCCGCCTTGGATCTCCCACTGTCACTTAACCATTATTGACTCAATAGACACCATAGGAAAAAAATCTGACTATGATCTAGAAGAACTTAAGAAAATAACAAATAACACATTAAGGATCAGTACCCCAGCAATACCTGGATTAGTTTTCACAGATGGCTCAGCTGAAGATGCCACAAAAAATGGCGGGGCTGGCTTCCTTATTGAATGGCCAAGCGGAGAAAGCCTGGAAAAGGCAATAGCCACAGGCAGCCTATCCGACAATTTTAGGGCAGAAAAAGAAGCTTTAGAACATGCAGCAAACCTCCTGTCAGAACACCCTGAATCACCGAATAGTCAGATTGTATTTCTTACAGATGCCAAATCAGTCCTGCAATCCCTAAAAAATCCAGAGTCCTATATTCAAACACTTATGACAGCACTAGAGAGGCTAAAAAATACCTGCAGCAGAATTGTGCTGCAGTGGATCCCGGGCCACTGCCAGATCCAGGGTAACCAGATCGCAGACCAGCTGGCAAAAATTGGGGGAAAGAAACCACAACCGGAAATTTCGCTACACCCAAAAGAAATAAAAAGAATAATAAAAAACAAACAAACGCAAATGTGGTCTGTCACACACCCTCACTACAATAAAGACGACGGCTATTATAATTTAACACGAAAACAACAATACATAATCTTTCGACTTAGAACAGGCCACAACAGACTAAATCAACACATGCACAGAAAACTGAAGGTTGGGTGTAGCGAAGTGTGCCCTTGTGGCAAGGCCCCGGAAAACACGGAGCACGTACTCCAGGAATGTACTTTGTATAGCCAGGCACGAGTCAGACACTGGCCACAGCCCACCACAATCAGGGAAAAATTATATGGGGCACCTGACAAACTGGAGACCACAGTCCAGTTTGTCCACGAAGTTGGACTTGTTGTCTGAATCCTCCACCATATTCACAATTAAGAACGAAGAAGAAGATTCCAGTAAATGAGTAATAATAAGTTCCAAATAAAATGTTTTAAACATAGACAGCATCTTTAACTTTATGGATAGTCGGGAAAATCATTTAAAGACGCAGATAATTATTTTTGACAGTTGTTGAAGACCTAAGAGTTTATAGGTAAATTTAGTTATAGTGTGTGGTATTCTTGGTATACTTAAATGAATTCTGCAGAGTAAAACATTAAAGGCTATACACATATCTTTAACATATCTTTTAAAATTTTAACTTCTAAACACAAAAAAAAAATCATCAAGCCATAAAAATAAAATATATGGTTTAATACCTTTTTAAATTGCATTGAAGGACATTCTTTGGACTCAGCTAACAAATTTCAAAAACAAAAACAATAGAAGATACAAAATCAGGTTAAAATTTCACACCCATTATCAGTGATTAAGATGGTGTGTTCAAATTGTGCTGATCGACTGCCATCAACAGTAACAACCGTCCAACCATCCTCTAATATTTTAATTTCTGGTGTACCGTCACACACAATTGGCTCTGCAAAAAAATAATAATTGAAATTAGCAAACGATAACAATTTTTTTTAAAAAAAAAAAAAGGTAAAAAAGAAAAGCCAGTACAAAAATAAATAAACAGATCATTACTGGAAATAAAGATGTCAACCCACATCACTTTTCTTTCTGTAACCATTTTAAACCCCATAATCCCCTTTTAACTTAATTCAATTGCCTACATACTTTTTTTTAGTGAGTACATACAATGATTCAAACTCCAACACAATTGATTTTAAATTGTATTAATTAATAAAATTGTATTATTTGCCTTTTTATGCAAGTTATGAAAATTGTATACCTATTGTAAATGTCATGCCTGTCAACATTTTTTGGTCACCAACAAAATCACTTGCTGTGTAAATAAAGTTTTACATTTAGTTAGTAACAGTAAAAAACAAAACTAATTTGAAGAGTAAAATACTTCACAAAGTAAAAAATACTATTAATATTCTGTATTATAATCATATATCATAGGCACACCTTTGTCTTTTGGTGTAAAACATTTCTTTTTATAAACAATACTTACGAACATGCACAATATCCGGTGGCCCATGAAAATAATGCCCAATGCCGTGGCCACAAAAGTAAGGTAAGACTTCAAACCCAGCATCCACTGCAGTAGAACTGTGAATATGGTAGTATTTAAAATTTATGAAAACCTAAAGCAAAGATTCAAATACAATTGCTGTTTTCAAATGGATTAAAAATTTCACTTACTATATGATATCGCCAATATCAGAGATTAATGCTCCATTGTGGCATACACCTATGCCAGCATCTCTGCATTTCTCAGCAGCCTTAACAAGAGCTTTACCTCTTTTATCCACATCTCCCACCATAAAAGTATGGGAAGTGTCTCCGTGATAGCCATTGTAAAATACCTGAAATAAACAAATGATAACAGATGAAATAAGAACAAAAAAGCAAAGGCTATCTTTCAATTCATAAAAATTAGGGGGGGGGGGGGGAAAGTATGTTTGATATTACAGGAACAACAGTATCTTTAATAAATAAAAAGATACGTAATAATTTCATATTTATGGTTTGGAACTAATACAAATGGGTCTGCTAGACTATACTTTGTATTATAATTTATGTAACCAACATAAAGTTTTTATAACATTTTTAATTTTATGGTTATTTTCTATATAAAGGTAAAAAGATTGATAATTCATATCACACACAAAGTATTATAAAACAGCTTACTGTTATGTCTACATTGATAATGTCACCATCTTTAAGGACCAGGTTTCCAGGAATACCATGACAGGCTACTTCATTGACTGATGTACATACACATTTTGGGAAACCCTTATAGTTAAGTGGAGATGGATAAGCGCCTGCTTCAATGCACTTTGTATACACTAAGGCATCAATATCATTTGTAGTCATGCCAACCTAAATTTGTTAAGAAATAAAATTCTGAAAAAGATTATTACAACAATCTTAATTTAGCATATTTCATGCAATTTGTATCATTATGAAATATTGTCAAGTTTCCTTGACAATGAACCAAGTGAGAATCTAAACACATACAGGGAACCCTATAGATTAAGTTATGTATGTAGCCTATCTATAACTACTAATACTTGTTAGTTACTTCTCTTGCCACACCTAAAAATGAATGAATTAATGTTCAAATGATTAGGGGGCCTAAATATAAAACACCAATATAATGAAAGCCTACTAAAATAGTATGAATGATTTAAGATGGCCTATATAACATTAAAAACCTACCCATTTATAAAAAAGAAGACATCTGTTTATTTATACACATTATCAGTTAGACATAGTATTACATGTATGTTCCTACCTTAATATTTTCTCCAACGAATTGGAGGATTGATGCTGCAAGTTTACAAGCTGGGCGCATCTGATTGATCTGTTCATTTGTTTTAATTTCTGCTGATGTTGGTGCCCTAAACTCCCCACATGTGACATACGGTGGTAAGGGCAGAGATTTTGGAAGATCATAATTGGCTAGTGTTGTTGTTGACTTTGGAGCTTGATACGTGTTCCATGCTTTTGAAGGTCCAAAAATGTTTCTAATGCTTCCAAAAGATTTTGAACACAGATATTTTGTGATAATTTTTTCAAATTGCATTGCCATCTTCTGGTTTGATGTTGTTGGAATTTATTAATTGTTCATGATTTGTTGTATCAGTTTATTAAAGACTAGCAGATGCTGTTCAAAAAATATAAAGACAATAACTATTAAACTTATGTAGGCTATAATATTATAAATTTTTAAAAAGTAAACCTGGTAACAGGTAGGCCCACAACACTAATGTTGACAGTGACAGTAACTCAATAAAATAGAATCTAGATTAACTTACTAACTAAACTAACTGCCTAGTACAAAAAAAAAGACTAGCTAGAATATAGAATAACATTAACAATTTAATTAATTGGTATTTATTAGGCTAAATAATTTTTTAATTAGACTCTAGATCTAGATCTATAGACTAAAAAAAATAGGAATTACTCTAAGTTTTATTAGTAGGCTATAGATCTAGTTAAGACTTAAGACGAAGTAATAAGTATAGCCCATCATAGGGCATAGGCCTGGCCCTTTGAAATACTATACTATAGACTATAGGGAGTATAGGCCCTACTATCTACTAGAACAACTAGATAGTTATTAAATATTAGTTATTAGTAGTAGTAGATTTAGTAGATTCGATTTACTTAACTAAACTAATACTAAGTAAGTAGTAAGTAGATCTAGTAAGTAATACTGCAGTGAGTACCACAGACAGTTGAGATAGCTTCTCTTGAATCTTTGTTATAACTTATTACTTAGACTGAATTATAATATGGTAATCTATCGTTTTGGGTACGTAAAATCGCCCGCGGCTATTAATGTACGAAAACGTTACCTCATTGTCAAGGCTGTAACAGAAGTAGATCTAGAATCTATATTGTGATATGTTTGTGTCAAATATTATAGATACATGAATACTTCTGTTACAGCCTTGACAATGAGGTAACGTTTTCGTACATTAATAGCCGCGGGCGATTTTACGTACCTAAAACGATAGATTACCTATAATATTAATATAAGACACTATAGTTTTATATCCAGATTGATATCGAAACAATGAGTTAAAATGTAGGCCTACATCTGCAGTGTTAGTGAGGACGCAGCATGTTTTCCCAACACAAAGATATACGCAGTAGTTTAGCAGGTCATGTGATAAATGCTGTAAAGGGTAAACAAAACAACGTGCACGACACCCAACAATTTTTGTTTTCGTGAGTTATTGCCCATTGGATTTTATTAAGAATATAATAATAGACTAGTAGCCTATAGGCCTAGATTGACCAAGATCTATATTACAAAAAAAAACAATAATGTTCAAGTTATGAATAGGAACACAGTAATACCTGGATTAATTGAATAACACTACACAAACCCCACATATAACACCTAGATCTACTACTAGATCTAGTCTCTACTACTAGATCTAGATCTAGTCTAGATCTTGAGAGATTTAGATGTTGAATCTATTACGTCCCTTTAAACTTTAAAATTACAGAATTATAGTCAAAGGTAGATTTAGGAATAAAATATTTAGGCTGATGGGTTGCGCATAGCATTTTGTATTACGCTTATGGTATAGAAATTAATAAATGAAGATTCACTGTATAGAGCTAGGTAATTTTTATTTCTAAAAATCTGATAAGCGTTTTACTTATTTTCCAGTAAATTTGTGACACGTCGTAAGTAACCTAGGCCTATCATATGTCCTAGAGAAGCCGACCATTCATTGCACTAAAATACATGACCCTTTTCCAATAAGAAACGAAACGAATTAGCCGGCTCGCTTAGTCTAGTGACTAAATCTAGATCTAGTGATAGCGTATATCTACTTTTGGTTTGGTGTGTTCTCTGTTGTAAGTAGACCTAAATAAATCAATCTAGATTCTAGGTATAGATCTAGTTTTAAAATTATAGGCCTATAAAAAAAAAAATCTTAAAACGAGATCTAGATCTAGCCTAGGAATCTAGATTTCTTAGTAGATCTAGATTCTACTTCTAGTTAGAGGCCTTTAATTTTCTATCTATTCTAGATCTAGATTTCTAGATCTAGAATCTAGGTTTCTAGTTCTAGATCTAGACTTTCTAGTCCTAGATCTAGATCTAGATTTCTAGTAGTTCAGAAGTTCAGACGGAATAGGCCTAGCCCTACTAGGGCTAGGCCCTAGACTGTGGCCTAGGCTAGACACTTTCAATTGTAAATTAAAGAAGTAGGCCTAATAATAATAATATTTTAATAGTAGATCTAGATATAGATTCTAGAGTAATCTAGCCTAGATAGATAGTCCTAAAAATATTGCCATAACTTACTAATAAGCTACATAATACATAAATCGATGATCAATAAATAGATAGATAGATCTAGATCTAGATCCAGAGGCGTAGCGAGGGGGGGGGGGGTGCGGATCGCACCGGGTGACACCATTTAGAGGGCTGACACCAAGGGGAAAAAATAGCAAAATATATAGAGAAAAACTTGGGGGGGGGGGTGCAAATTGAAAACTTAAGGGGGGGGGTGCAAATCGATAGTTTGAGGGGGAGGTGTAAATCGAAAATTTGAAAGTTTTTCCCCGGGAAGGGTCGCTACGGCTCTTAGGGGTGACACCATTAAGTGCCGCACAGGGTGACACCCGACCTCGCAACGCCACTGTCAAGATCTATATAAGTTTGGTTATTCATCATCATTTTTTTACAGTTGGTGCCCAAGACAGTTGTGGCGCATTGGGCAGATGAAGTAGATTTTATGTGTTTCAGAAACATCTGCATATAAATTATAAAGTAATATAAAGGGAAGTGTGCCCAGCCATCTTTGTTTTCCCTTATGTTAGGTACCCATAAGAGCTAGGTGGACTCAGGGACATTCTACTGACTGAATTGAACCTGGATTTGAACTTGAGACTTCTGGGTTAGTAGTCTAGCATTCTACTGCTTGGCCACACCGTTCTATATTAGTTTATTAAAAATTAGATATTATCTAATCTAGATCTTGAAGAATATAATACAGATCTATACTAATCTAGATTCCCAAGTAGAGTGACATTTAAGAAAAACTCTGCAAGTAGGCCTAACTGAACTTCAAATTCAAAGTATTTTTTTTTACTTATGAGTTAACCTTTCACTAATTTCTTCTTATAAAAAGTTGTGACGATTTTAGATACTGATCTCCGGTAATAGACTCTTCCCTAAAATAGGTGTGTTGGGTTGATAGTAGTATTGTGATTAGGGTTAGGCGTATGGTAGGATTAGGGTTGGATTAGGGTTAGGGACAGGGTTAGCATTGACATTAGCCAGCAATGTTTGTATTTTTAGAGAAGATTCTATTTTTGGACACTGGTATAAAAATTTCCCCAAAAGTTGTTGCTAATGTATCCATCATGGCCATTTATCTTTTAAAGTACATAGTTTAATTTAAAATTACCTAATAACCATTAGGAACACAATTTTTTGTGTGCTATTTGATAGTCCTAAAAGGGGATATAGAAATCTAGGTTTTCCTGGATGAGCTTTTTTTTTTAAATTTAAAAGAATTTACTTGAATGCAGCAACCCACTTTCTGATATTTATTGAATTCAAACAAAATAAATATCAAAATGCATAGAATCCGTAGGCCCTAATTTTTTCCACAACAAGGGAACTATTTTGATACTTTTACTTAAATTAATAATTAATAATAGGGCAATGTAGTATAGTATTGAGATCGTTCATCTCATAACTATTTGGAAGCAGAATAATTTTGATATATCATTAGTATTTGGGAGTTATAGGGCTGGTAAGTTGGTCACCAACCAGTTCTACAGCTCAATAAAACCTGCATGAGCCATAGAACTGGTTGGTGACCTACTTACCAGCCCTATTGTAAAAATACCAATCAGCTAATACACAATACATTATTGATGCAACATTTTTTTCTGCTGATACCATGCTGTTAAAAGATATTTGACGTATCAGCAATTCTATAATCACTAATTAGACTTAGCTTTGTATATTTTAAAATTTTAAGTTATACTTGTTTCTAACTATTTCTTTTTTTGTTTGTTATAAAGATTTCACAGAAACATTATGCTAGTCAACTGGCTTTTTTCTTTTGTTGTGTTCATACTAGTTAGTGGAACTGTGATTCAAGGACAGAAGAACTATTGCACTGGTAACTATAAAATTTGTTTTTGTTATAGGATTGTTCATTATAGTCATTTCTCTCATATATAAATGTGTAATATATATATACATATATTAGAACTTTGAATGTTCAGCTGCATTTATGAAACTTAACTAAATGTATTTTGCTTTTTATTTTTACTTTTAAAGAAAAATGATAAATTTGACTATGCTTGTAGTTTGCAGAGTGTTAGTTCGTGAAGTGGAGTGGTTAATAAGCCAAGTTGATCCCAAGAAAAGTATTCAAGTAGGGAGCTTCAGAGTTGATCCAAATGGAAATCAGAAAATCAAAGATGTTTGTATTAAATGCTTTGTTTTTCAACTAAAGAAGTATATTTAAAAATGTTATGTTTGCATTCTATCACTCATAGAATTTTCAATGCATATCAAAATTTTGCTATGTTTTAACACTATTTAAGAACCTACATTTATGTTAAACCCTTGAGAAAACTTTAAAGTTAATAGTTCAATCATAAATAAAATAATTGAAAACTAATTATTTATAATTTAAAAAAAGAACATCAATTTAAAAAAAAATTACCCCTTGGAACTAATTATTATTTTTTCTAATATTTTTCTAAACTTGCAGAAACAGTATGCAAGATCTGAGTTGCATTTGGAGGAAGTTGTTGAATCTGTATGTGAAAAAATGAATTATTATTCCTGGCTGGCATTTGATGATGGTACAGGTCAAATGGTTCGAACCACAGGATTTGATGGCAAGCAACTGGATAAGAAAAACTTAAACCTTGACAGTGAAAAGGGAAAAACTCTGAAGTATCAGGTTAATTAAAGTTTTTTTAAATAGACATAAACTGGTGAAATTTATGTTATTCAGTGTTTTTTGTAGTGTGAAGTAAAATAACAATGAAGAAGCAAAGTAGATTTAACAGAAGTGTTTTATTACTTCCCTTAGTTGACCTTGTGTCATTTTAAATTGTTAAGAAGGGATGGGAGGAAGTTAACTTCAATGCCAATAAAAATTGTGTTGTTTAGCATGTCAGTGAAATATCCTCTGATACACCTAGCTCTGATGGGTACCTGGCATAAGTTGGGTAAGTTTTTTTATACCATGTGTGCATAAACTACAGATATATTACAATTTTTCTGTTGTGCTAACAATCCCTTCTCTAAGGAAAACTTCACTTTCATTGTATTTCTGCATTTTTTTCTGAGATCTGCATTTTTACTTTAAATAATATTTATTTGTGTTACAATTGTTTTTTTTCAATTTCAGTGTGATGACTTTTTAGAGAATCACGAGGAGGAACTGATTTCATTGTTTCAGTTAGAAAATGTTTCTGATTATGAAAAACTGATTTGCAGTGAAAAACTAGGTACAGTAAATTATAATAGTTATTGTATGGTGTTCACACACCTCTGATGGTTGTTTGTAATAAGTTTCTTTTTGTTTGTTTTTGCCCCAATATGTGTATTTACCACATTGAAATAGTAGTTTAAACAGTAACTAAGTATTATATAGGGCCTATATAAAGTATTTTATATATATTTGAAATCTTAATATACATTAATTTTTAGAGCAAAAAGTAATTATATTGCTTTGGTCTAGCTTACTTTTGAATGGAATTATACTTGTAAACTAGTTTGTATCTGTGTTTAAATGTATTCTTTCTTGTATTCTAGAGGTTTGCACAAAGGCAGAAGTTCAGGTGCCACCATTTACTCTACCTGAATTGGCTGACACACCTGAAAATAATGATGATATGGAAGTTCTTGGGGGTGTAACACCTGATGATGATGATGATGATGTGGATGTAGATGCAGATGAAAATGATGTAAATGATGAGTTATGAAAAAAAAAAGTTTTGTTTGATTTTATTACTGTTGTTATTTTCTAGTTGTTCAAATGTGTTGCTAACTTGGAAAGAATGTGTTGATATGGTTTGAAGTGAATTGTACACCTAAAAGTTGGGTGGGGTGTAAAATAACTGGATGAAAGTTGTAATCATTATAATATACATCAAAACTTACACCTTTTCCATTTCGCCTTATGTTCAAATAAAACCTTTTTAAGCAAGTGCCTACTTTTTTTTCTTTTTTTTTTTTTCAAATATACTTTTAAAAAAAAAATTGTATGGCTTGCTCAATATTTGGAAGTCTGTATAGAGCCAGATATATATTTTATATATATATATATATATAGGGACGGAGTGGTCTAGCGGTAGAGAGCTGGACTGCTAACCCGTTAGTCTCGAGTTCGAATCCGGGTTCTTGACAGTAGACCATCCCTGAGTCCACCCAACTCTGATGGGTACCTAACTCACGTTAGGGAAAGTAAAGGCGGCTGGGCATAGTGCTGACCACACTATCTCTTCATATGCCGAGGTCACAGAAACAAGTGAACTCTACTTCACTTGCCCCATAGACCGTCAGGTTTGAAAGGGAAACTTTACTACTTTTTTACTTATATATATATATATATATATATATATATATATATATATATATATATATATATATATATATATATATATATATATATACATATATCTATACAAGTTTCAGTCATTGCCAATTATAATTACTTATTATAAATACAGAAGTCATGTGAAATAACCAAGGAGCAATTGCTAGAAGATACAACAATTATTTTTTTACTATAGCAGAAAATTTATCAGTCTCTTACCTATAATATAATACTCTTTATTATGGTAAAATATATAGAATCTTACAAAACTTCTCTGTTGTTTTCCTAATTTATTTTCACTATGCAGATTTAGAATTTAGGAGTAAGAGGTAATGAGATGCATACAACTTCAAATTCAACACCATGATAATATTATTCAAAGATAGCTGTTCAATAAATTGCACTTAAAATAAGCCACTAACAACACTATAATTACCTTTATTACAACCTACACATCATTTGCAAGAATTTATGCCTACTGCTTATACACCATAAAGGCCTAACGTTGTAGCCTCTAGGTATACTGTTTAGTAAGTATTAAAATTAATGAAATTAGCCTTTGCCTACACTAATATTTCAGTATTGCTACTTATTAAAAAACAAACTGCCCTTTACAACTAATACATATTTTAATCTGAAAATTTAAAAAACCCAAAAAAAACTAACAGATTTAATGATCTACTTAGTATTTAGATTGTTTTCAAATGTATTTTTTTTTTATGCTGATGTTAGATCTATATTAATTAATTGTTCATTGTTCAGTAATTTTTAGTGAGTTAGGCCTATGCTAGGCCCCACTAATGAGATCTCCTAAAGTATCGATACCAACTAAATGTTTATATTTGAGTAGTCGAACAACACAGCTTCTTTCAAGATGGCCGCTGGAGACACTGCTCTCTGGCTCCATAACAAGTTAGGATCAACTGATGATTTATGGTCAGGAAAAAGCATTTGTTCTCAGCTTTCTCGTGAAAAATTATTGAATATTCAAGATTGTTTTCACGCGCTTCAGTCTCATGTAAAAGTAAAGCTGTTACTATCATTTTTACACATTCCCAGACGCAATGTTGAGCAGGTGAGTGGACTTGTGAGCGGCTAGCTTTAGCACTTTAACTTTTAAGCGGCTAGCTTTAGCACTTTAACTTTTAACCTAATTTTTTAAATATTTAAAATTAGATCAGCTCTAGACTAGAATCTAGATTCAAAATCTAGCAGTGCATTACACTAGATCTCACGTTTTAGATTCTAGATCTATTCCAGATCTCTAGATCTCAAAATCTAGACTTTTTCTTTCAGAGTATTCATCAGCAGTTCAAAGGGAAGATAACTTTCAATTTAATAATAATAATAGACCAGAAATTAACATTATTTTAATATTTAAAAATTTAATTTAACAGCTGTGTTTGCGAGCAAGATTTGCTATATACATAGCAGCCATCTGTAAATTAGAGTGGTTTCCCCTGAATCTCTAACTATAATTAATTTTACCAAAAAAAATGTACGCTAGATGGCTGCTAAAGTAAATGAGGTAGCCTAATCTTTATTTATTACTGAAAAGTTTTAATACAATTGTTTAAAAACAGGTACATGAATGAAACTTTAAAACATTTTTGTAACTTTCAAAACATAGATCCTCCTAAAAATGTGAAATAATTACTAAAATTTAATGAGTCACCTTTTTTTCACATTACTACCCTTGGTCGATTTGTTTAGTTGCGTAAACATTAGTTACTGTAAACCATAGTCTATTCAGCCGGTAAAATATAAATAGTCAATTGTACTAATTAACTACAGTTTTAAATTTAATCGACTATAAGGAACAGAAAAAAATTGCTTAACCAATCTTGCAGTAAACACGATGTGAGGGTAGTGTGAGTGTAAAATGTCAGACACAACATGACGAGGCAGTAGGTAAGCTTGCAATCATGTTGCAAACGAAAAGTAAATAATACAATTATAGCCTGCATTTCATCGTAAAAAAAAAGTTATTACATCAGTTAATGAAGTTGAAAGATATTTTCTCACATATAAGCAGGACTTTTTGCACCTTACTAGAGTGGTACAGGCTTAATTATAATACTATTTAACTCTATTGTAAACTAAAAATAATTTTAAAAATAAATAAGCTATAGTTAAATAATTGATATTGATTTAAACTTTTTTTCTTGGCCTAACCTATTGAGTTAATTTTTGGTGTATAATTTAAAGATATTCCATGTAGTAGCTTAGTCAATGCATTAATCTGTTTTTTAAAAAGAAAAATGTATTCAACCCACAATGAAAATTTGCCTGTCATTCATATGCTTTGTGGGAACAGATATTTTATAATTATATATTATAAATCTAACTATGAATTTTTTTATCTGTTTTAGTGGCAGGCAGATCTTGAAGAAATAATATCCTTAGGTATTAATGACCCTGATCCATGGGTTGCAACAATAGGAGAAATAATGCGAGAGTTCCCTGTATCAGGAGCTCTTCTGCTAGTAGAACAAGACAACAGATCTGATTCTAACATGTTGGCCTGCTTGGATGAAATCAAATTACTAGGTATGTTGCAGTAGAAATTTAAAAGATAAAATCGACCTCCAAATTTTAAAATGTTTTGTTATATTAAACAATACAACTAAAACAACAAGTAAACTTATTTTTGAAAGACATTTTTTTTACTTTTTAGCTTACAAATTTTAGTAGTAGGGATTGTAATTAAGCAGCATAAATGTCAATTTTTTTTTTTTACAAACCTGGATATAGTTGTTTTAACAAGATGTCAATAAGTAAAATAGCAATTTTGTTGTTTCAGCTCAGAACTCTAATGTTAGCATGATGCCATTAGAATGCCAGTATTTGAACAAAGCAGCTTTGACTGCAGCTGCTGGCCATATCCCTGAAGCTTCAAAGCATTTCACAGTAAAAAGAAAGCCTAAATCTGCAGCTTTGAGAGCAGAGATTATTCAGAAATGTAAGATTTTACTGCTAGTATAAATTATTTCTGTGTTGCAATATGTTAGTGTTTAGAAGCTATTCAAAATATAGCTCTTGCTGTAAGATTATTAAGTTTACGAGCCGACCCGCTGCGTATCATATGCCGCTATTTAGTTGTTTTTTTTTCTACTTTTCAGTAATTTATAATTTGTGAATTCAACAGTACCAATGCTGCCATTGAAAATATTTGCTTAAAAACACTAATACCCCCCCCCCCCCCCCCCCCCCACGTGAAAGCAGCCTCCTCTTAGTTACCTCCTCTAAGTTTAAAATCGTTTCAAACTCAATTATCTGCCCCTAATAGCCGTCACCAAACCCGTCTCTATGATTGTAAAATGTAAACAGAGTGAACACCGCTCACCAGATCATGTGGGGGTGGGGGTGGTAGTGATAGTGATAGAGAGGAAGAGAGGGGACTGCAAAGGCGCGCTTGCAGCTTGTTTTCTAACTGATCCCAGAAGAGAATTATATATATAGATTAATAAATAGTAATAAGATATTTTTTTTTTGCAGCTTCAGAAACAGTTTTAAATAAAAGGAACCATGCATCCAGTTCAGTGCCAATAAAATCCAGAAGCTTTGCTAAAACAATGGATATAAGTGAGTTATTTAAAAAACAAACAAAATTAATTTACATTAATCTGATGTTACTCAGTTTCAAGTGTATTTAATTACATTTAAGAGTAACAATGTATACTTATTTTCTCCATTACCCTGAAGATTTTTAGAGAAACACAAATTTATTCAAATGTCTCAAATATGTTGCATTCTTAATGTTTATTTATTTCATCCATAGCCCCTATCAGAACTCCACCAGGCCGAACACAAGCCAACAACTCAGAGTTTAGGTCCCCTGGGAACTCATTACGTCTGAACACATCCCTGAGTCGCTCGCCCATTACACCTTTACCACTCACACCCCGGCCGGGCTCTACCAAAAAAGATACCAAAATCAAAGTGAGTTTCTTGATTGCCATATTATAGAACATAATAATAATTTTTGGGCAAATTTAAAAAACAATTGTCAATCTAATTATACTCTTTTTCAGCTTCTTGAAATAGAAGAAATGCCTGTTGGTGCAAAAGAAGCCAAGAGAAGAAAAAAAATTGCCGGTAAAGATTGTGTGAAAAGTTTTGTTTATAGCTTTTCTTTTCTCTCACTCCAAGTTTTAATTTCGTTTCATCAGACATTAATATTTTTATGTTTTATAATCTGCATGTTATATTCCTTTTTTCTGTTTTTTAGTGTTACCGTAACTAAATATATACCTGTGTGTCCTTATTGTGGTTCAAACTAATCAGCTGTTCACTGTGTATCAACAGATATGGCCCAGGAAGCACAGAAGAAAGAAAAGGAAGCGGCGGCAGCAGCAGCTGGAACAAATGTGACGGTCACAACACCAACTTCCACCACTGCTGCAGCACCATCTTATACACCTGACTACGCTGCAGGTCTCATTGCACCTGCCACACCTGTAAGCTGCTATTTTTAGAACTTTAATTAAAATTCTTCAATTCTAAAATCAAAACACAATTTATTCTGTTTTCTTAATTTTAATTCATGGACTTACATTGCTGTACACAAGTGATTGAAATATTTACTAAATGCTTATCACTTATAAAGAAGTTCATTGTCACTAAAGTAACCCTTGAGATGAATCAAATTTTTACTTAAAAAGCTCTCAAACAAAATATTGAAAACCAATGATAATAATTTAATTATAATCCATGTGTAGCATATAATTAAATCGATTGTTGTTTTGAGTATCTTTAATGTTTGTTAATTATTCCTCAGAAAATGCCTATCACAGTTTTAAGTGTATCCTCATCAGCTCTGTCACAGCCCTCACCTGCATACTTACCCACATCAGCCAGACAGAATACTCCTGCTACAACATTGAGTGGTAATATAACTAATCACATTTTATTTTACATTTGCCTCTTGAAATAAACTAGACTATTTTGTTAATTACAAAATATTTATTTAAATTAAAAAAAAATTTAATTATCAAATTTTCAAAACTTGACAAGATTTTATTTTCAATTTTTTCAGGCATTGGAACACTATCTGCTGCGACTTTACCAGCCAGCAAACCGAATCTCTCTCAGCAGTTAAAAAACCAGCTGTTACAGCCTCAGGTTCTTCGCCCTTCTACCCCAGCTTCAATACCAATGATGGCACCTATACTCATAGCCACCCAGCCCTCGGCAGTCCCAAGTTTCTCCCCAGCACAAACTGGCCCGGTCCTCTCAGCGAGCACAGCATTGCCGGCTTCAGCCGTTCTCCCTACTGCAGTGGTCAGGCCCCAGCAGACAATTTTTGTTCAACAAGGGACAGCAGTGGGGCAAGCCCACTATGTTTCACTTGCTCCAGGGTTAGCTCCCGCTCAGCCTACCCCAGCCCAACCTGCAGGGGCTAAAAAAGCATTATCTCTTACTGTAAGTATGCATTACTTCTAGAAGTAGTTTATATTGTTAAGTTAGATTAATTAAAATTAATGTTAAAATATTAATTAAAATATTAAAAACATCAATTACTTAACTTTGTCTTTTTTTAAATGTTATCTGCAGAAAGAGCAAATGACAGAAGCCCAAGAAATGTTTAAAGCCTCAAACAAAGTTTCAAGACCAGAGAAAGCTCTGATATTAGGTTTTATGGCTGGCTCCAGAGGTAAGAATAAAGTCCCTTTTTTGTTAATTTTAAATGGGTTGAGGGAACTCATTAATCATACAAGTTCCAGTGAAAGTAATATTAACTTGAAACATCAAAGTTACAGCCAGTGTATTACATTCTTTTTAAAGTACCATAACCATGAACTGTTTCAGAACTCTATTGTGGATAGTTAAACTACCACATTAGTAAATGGTTAATTTTATTCAGAAATTATATTTAGTTTATGAATTGAATAATTTATACTTTTGTTAGATGTTACCAACTGTAAATAAATTTTGTTTCTCCAGAAAACCCATGCCCAGAACAAGGCTCAGTTCTGAACATAAAACTTAGTGAAAAAGAAGAAATCGTTTCTTTACCTGATGGCTCCTTATTGAAAAAGATTGAAGATACATATTTCCAAATGAACTACGCAACAGGAGAGTGGAGAAGGTTTCAAAAACATAGAGAAATTAGGGAACCTGCCATATCTTGACACCAGCCTTATCACGTTCATTGTGTAAAATTTTCATGTATCATCCCTGGCTCCTGTTGGGTGTGACTGGAAACTCTTGCGGTATGTGGCAGAGCTCCCTGTTGGCATTGGCCATCCCTAGGGACTCTGGTGTGTAAATGGTTTGTTGAATGAACTTTCTGCAGTTGATTATTTGTGTGATGAAATACTTTGTATTTTACCAATGTGTTCTGAAGTATACGCAACTGATCGGATGGGGGTTGTTTTCACTCTGTGTTTAGTGGGGGGGGGGGGGGGGGGGGATCAGAATTTTAAAAACGAATATTCATCCCTTAAAATTTTTTATTTACACTGATTTCGTTATTTTTCTAAAAATAATTTCCCTTAAATGTGAACATACTGTTACACATCATTTTCAAATTTTTATGAAGTAACATTTTTTTTCTCAAATGAGATTTAACCAATAGAAATAAAAATTGTGGGTTTGAAAACTGGTTAGGAAAAAGAGGCTTCTATTTGTTGATGTAAATTATTTGTGATTTTTTTCCCATTATCCATTCAAATTGTTTTCCACTGTTTTATGTACATAATTATAAAGTTTTAGAAGGGGACCAAAATCACATTGAAAAAAAAGTTCTTGTTGCATCATATACATGACTTATCAAAAGATTTAGTTCTGAGATTAGTATTTCAGGAGTTTAACCAGCTTCTTTAAAATTACTGTACTCTCTTTATTTCATTTGTATCCATCAGATAGCTTTATTTTATGATACTGTTTTCAGTTTGAAAGTAGCTAGGCCAATGCAAAAATTTAATTTCAGTAAAACAATATAATAGTTACATATTTGGATAGGGACTGTCAATCTGATTACAGATCAGTTTGAAATTTCAAAATCTGACCATAAACAAAAAAGTTATGAATTTTTTTGTCATTAAAAAACACCAGTTTTTTCAGACAACCGGGGTAGACCCTGAAAGAGGAAAAATACTGGGAGGGTATGGACCAAATTTTTAAGAGTTTTTCACTAAAAGTGGTATAAAAGCAAGCAGACTTCACCAGTTGATGTCATTTTATGATATTTTGTAGATTTTTCTATGCCGAATCCAATGATGCTATTTTAAAAAGTGTCTTTTGATTATATAACAGACTTATTTCATGGATTATGTAATACCCCCTTCAATTTTTTTTTACAACATCTGATAATCCGTGTGATAAGAAGTCATTCTTTAAATTAAACACTGTTTTAAACCATAATATGACATTTGTATATGCTGAAGCTAATGGTGATATTTAAAATGGTAGAACATTATTACAAAACTATAAAGGTCAGGTTATGTAATTCGCACCTTGAGCTCATAATTTACCGTGCATTTATTTTAAAATCTCTTTTGCTCATTGTCAGTTAACTGAATAGCCTACTTAAAGAAAAGATAACTAATACAGTTTTAATACAAAGAGAAGGATGCTATAACAATAGTATATTTGTGATGATGTAACTTCTTAAAATATGTTATGTAATCTATGTGCAATCGTACAGGCCTACTCTATTCCAAAAATATAGGCATATCTTATTATATTTATATTTCTTGTTACTTTAAATGTCATATACCATTGATACAACTTTCTTCTATAGAATTAGCCTAGTTACAAATGTGTCTTATCAGAATCAAGGTGCTTTATGACAAATTTGTAATATTTTTAAACACAAAAAAATTGCTCATTTTTACAATTTTAATAACATAAACATTGGAGGAAAATTGTTTTTTTTTAGCTTGTACAAGGTAGTGTAAGTTATAGGTCTATAACAGATTTATATATGCTCAATTTTTATGCTAGTTGTAAGCTTGTGTATTTTGTAGGCCTACCATAGGCCTATTACATTGGGGAAAAAGCACGTGTTTGAGTGCTTGACTGTGTGTAGTAGATGCTAGGCATTTTTTAAGTTTCCCGTGTCTGCCTAAACACGGAGGCGTTTATCACCATCAGCATTTGCCTAGATTTAGTTCAATCAGACGTGGGTAACCAGGTTTTCTGACCAACGAATTTTATTGCCGTATTACGTAAACACGAGGCAAGATAGGCTAGTCGGCCAACCCGATGAACGTGTTAGACGAATGTTATGTAATTTTAGAGACAAAAGTCTGGGAAGATTTCCTGATCTATGCCCGAGGGTTAGTAACATCCACTCCACAAAGTGAAGGGGGAGGGAGGTGGGGTATGAAACAACCGCGAGCCGCTCGGGTACCGTACGGGTGTTATACAACATCAAAGGCGCCGACCCTCGGCTTGTCGCGTCACGGAGTAGTGGGGGCGGGGTGAGGCTATGGATGTTACATACGGTGTTACAATTGTTACATACGGTGTAGGATGGTCAGTGACTCCCCATACCCACCCCATCCCATTTTGGTCGATTTGGCAAGCTAGTAACCTCCACGTTGTTACGGGTTTTAAAATTTTTTAGTCAACCGAAAAAAAAAAGAGCCCGGGGTAAAATTTAATTTATTTTTTAAAGCCATTTTTACGAAAAAGTAATGTACACAATAATGAAACGTTACGGCACGCGAATCACGTCAGCATTGTTTGGTCGGGTCGCAGCTATCCGGATTAATTTCTAAAGAAGATTAATTTTGACGATTAGTAAATACTATTACGACTTTTTTTTTTGCCGTTTCAATGGTTTAAAACAACAAAGTTATGAAACATGCCTGTCTACTTAAATATAAAATAGCAATACCCGACGAGTCAAATACGGGAACACACGTATCTATCTTTAGAAATTGTTTATAGTCTCATCCAATCGGATCAACCGCCTAGCGTCACGTGACCACACACTCGGCTGTGCTACACGATGTGTAGATTACGATTCAGTCGGACGGCGGCCGACGCGTTAATTTTTATTTTCGTTCGGTCTTAAAATGTATGGACGGCTTTATTATGAGGTGTTATAATACATGTCATACGTTAAAATAATCGGCGGGATTTCAGGAATAAAGCTCAAGGTTCAAATGTAAAATATGTCCAATAATAGACCGGGAAACTTAGTTCAACTTTGCGGTCCGATATCTCCCGAAGTATTTAACTTATTTTGACCACGAACCTTGAGCGTTGTACGTCTACATTTAATCTGTTCGTCTGCCAAATTTAATTGTTGTAGTACGTAAACTCGATACGTCTATAAAAAAAATTGTAGCGCGTCATATTTAAAACACAGCGATTCGAAGCACAGCCGAGCGGTTCAGTCGGACAGCGGTCGGCGCGTCATGTTTTGATTTTCGGTCCACTTCAAAGTCTATAGACGTCCTTATTATAGGGCCTAATATGACATATCATACATATTAATAAACGTCGAGATTTCAGGAATACAGCTCAAGGTTCAAATTAAAAATCGGTTCATTAATAGCCCAAATAACTTAGTTCAACTTTGCCGTTCGATATCTCCAAAAGTATTTAACATATTTTCCCCAAGAACCTTGAGCGTTATACGTGAACATTTAATCTATTCTTCTACCAAGTTTCACTGTTGTAGTACGAAAACTCAAAGAGTCTATAGACTCTAAGTAACACCCCTCTTTTAAAAAGGTGAAAAAGCCTCCCCCCTAATCGGCACGTCGCCGCGGGGGGTAAAAAATGCGATTAAATCGGCGATTTCTTCAACGTCTGAAATAATAAAGAAATCAAACTTATACAGTTAAAAAGGTTGTTCAATTACGAACAGAATGATGTATAACATGTTAACATAAACACAATAAAAGCATGCAAAAAACAGAGTTAAACATGCAGGGGGTAGGGAAAAGCCGATTTGTCCGATTTTCTCGGCAGCGGCATTGGCCTAGCTATTGAAAGATGTTCCATAATTCTCAATAAAAGCTTCAGGTTAAAAATAGAACTGAATATTAGGTCAGGAAATTGGTGTGCATGTATTTTACAGAGAATAACTTACCCTAGTCACCACCGATACCAATTACATTTTTTTGTACCTACTATAAATGATAAAATTAAGCTTTAAAAAATTAATGTTACGAGGCAGTCAGATGTCAGTTTAGTATCTCACTGTAATTTCTGTCATTTAACTCCTCTGAGCTCACTATGTTTTAATGAGCACCAATTATGAAGTTAGAGTAAATAAAATTTCTAATCAAGGCATTCATCGGCACTTAACAGTTTAGTTGCTTACTGTAATTAGTGGTTACAAAATGACAGATATACATGTGATTTATATTTTGTTTGCTTGATCATTCTTTTCAGAAAACAATACTCTTAATCTTGTTTAATCTCTTTGGCAGCAACATTGAGTTGTGTTTTATTAGTTTATTTATGGTTGAATCCAATTGAGATTTATTAGCTTGTAGTTAAGAAATCTCAAGTTCAGGGAAATCTATGATAATATTAAATTACAGTTTGCGATTTAATGCTAGATTTATATTTTATGTCGATTTTTAAATTTCATTACTAAGTTGTGGAATCTCCAACAAAAATCAGGCACCCGTTTAATTGTGATCTAAAAATCATTGAGTAATTCATTATAATATTAATTTTTTTAGTCACAGGCCATTATTCACTCAATTACAAAGCATAAAATGGTTCACCATGATGCAATAAATTATCATTTTTGTATGTGCCAAAGCAGACTTAGCATACAGCAAGTTTATAAGCATCACCAGCTTACAGTACAGTTCAGATTTCAAAAAGAATTCTAGTCACATTTAGCCAAAATTAAGTCTAATGTTATCTCGTTTATTCCACTTTGAACTTTTTTTTTGTTGATAGCAGCATTGGATCATTGCACATTACTACTTCATTTTCTGCAAAACAAAATTTGTCTTTTTATTTCACCACCTTCATGTAATAATTTAAATCTATACACACTATTCTTTTATGGATGTTGAATCATTGGAAGCATATTTTGTTTATTCAGTTATATAAGTTGACAGTATAAGCTTATCTGTTGGCAACAACGTCTATATGTTAGGTGTGATATGATAAAATTTAATTTGGATGTAATTTTAGATAATTTTGTTTAGGTTATTTCTGCTGGGTGGCAGTAGCTTTAAGCCCACCTGTTGTTATTCTTGGCTCTCATAATTCAAATCCTACATGAAGCTCAAAATGGGTAGCAGGTCTGTTTCTCCGCCTAGTATATGTCTTTCAGAATTCAGTTGCTTTTCTGTAAATTTTAGGAGTTTTAAACACGATTTGCTGCTATTTTCTCAGTGTTTTCTTATCTGGCAGTAATACAGAATACTATGCCACAGTATGTCCGGGAAAAGGTTTACAAAACTAAGTGTAGACCAGAGGTTGGCAACCTGTGGCTTCAAAGCTGCATAAGAAAAAGAAAATCAGTTTTGTATTTTTTTTTTTTTTTGTTAAAAAAAGTTTAGAAATTGTACATTTGAAAAAGTTATAAATGTAATTTACAGTTTAAATGATGATTAAAACTTCTGTGTTGCTCCCTAAAAATTTTATATGATAACTCAAGAAAGGTTGCTGGCCGCTGGACTAGCCACATACCAAATTTTACAAAAAAAAAGACTAATGCCGCGCTACTGTGTTTTTTTTTTTTGGATTAACATGTTTTAAGCAAAATGAAATCGTTGATTTGAAAGAACAAATATGATTATATTGTTGAGATACTGTCAATTGTTTGATGTAAACTTGCAGTAAAATATTAGTGATGAAATGATGTTAAACAGTGCAACGTTGTATTCTTTTGACCCAAGCTGTTCTGACTATACAGTGCTAGAATGTTGTTCACTTGATCCAACTGTTAATAAAAATGATTGTGTTTTAAATCCCAACAGAAAAGTTCTTAATGTGTTTAGTCATACATTGCTAAAACCTTAACTGTTGACTTTAAAAAAAATACTTACTTTTGTACCAGAATTAAAAAAAAAATGAAAAGATTAAGAGGAAAAGTATTTAATTTCAATTATCTCTCAGGAGGAAAATAGATAATTTCAGGAAATGAAATGTTTTTTAAAAAAATACAAACTCTGCTCAGGAACTGTAATGAGTTAGAAAGAGGAAGTAATTTTGTAACCAATCTATTTTTTTTCCCAGCCCTTCAGACTAGAATTACTGAGAAGGGATGCTTTAAAATCTTTACAACTGAAACAGGAGAAAGTTTTTTTTTTTAGAAATTCATGATTTTACCAAATTTTCACTTAGATTCTACATGTTAACTTATTTTTACATAACATTCTAAACGTGTAATGTATCCTTCTCATGGTTGTCATTTAGAGTCTTAGTATGCAAACGTTGTTATGTTTTTTTGAAACTGGAAGCAGTGGATAGTATTTCTATTAAGGTACGATATTAAATTCTCAGCCTTCTCATAGATGAGCCCAGGTTCTTTTTTCTTTGAACTCTTAAAGTCTTTAAAGTAAAACTATTAAACTATACAAATATTTATCAATGCAGCATTAAATATGTTTCCAGTTTAATAACTTTAAATCACAGTCAACATAACACCAAAGCAGCCAAAATGTTTATTATTAACACAGTAATGTTTGTGTTGTAATCACAGGTTTGAAATGTAAATTATGTAATCGCAATTTAAGTACATAAAAATAACATGTTCACACTTATTAAAACCATCCTAGATTCTAGGATAGGTTACTTCTTCTTAATACAAAGTTACACAATAGTGGCATCATAGAAACAAAATTTAAAAAAAAAGAGAACCAAAGCATGAATGGAGCTGCCTTATGTACTTACCAAATTTCCCCATATGTTTGGCAGATCTGTTATCTTTTTATTCCTCATACACTAACTAAGTAATTAGCATAATTGAAAATTAAATGAAATTAGGATTAAAAAATGGCCAAAAATGCAAAAAGTTACAATTAAAAATTTTTATAAAGAAATACATTTTAATTTTTAAAAAAAATCTGTAAATTATGTTGTAAATATATTATTTTAGGAAATTATAATTATAAATGTTTTCTAAATTTAAAAAACATAAATTTGTATTTTTTTAGACAACAAAATAAAATGTCTGTCCATTTAGTAGTCACAATACATGGTGCGCACCAGGTTAATAGAACAATTTATAGAACAAAATATTAGTTTTAAAATACACTGGACTGTCAATTACATAGTACTCAAATTCTTAGGGCTCATACACTGCACATGGGGTTCAAATACACAGGACAGTCTAATACGTAGGGTTCAAATACACAGGACAGTAATACGTAGGGTTCAAATACTCAGGACAGTTGAATGCATATTGTAAAATACACAGTACTTTCAAATACATTTTGTAAAATACACAGTACTTTCAAATACACTTTAAAAATTCAAAGGATCACCAAATATACTTTATAAAATAGATGGGACTTTGACAAGCTGAAAGACATTTGATTAAAAATTTATAAAACCAACCAAATCTATGTATAATGTCTATAGAAATAATTCATACTTTGCTGTTTTCTACAAAATTATTTCTGGGGTACTGAATGCCAGACTTCCATTTTTTTTCTAAATTTACTTTTAGGGTACTGAATGTAGGTCTTCTATGTTGTTTTCTAAAATTTATTTCTGGGGTACTGAATGTAAATCTTTAGGTAATGTCATGCTTAGTGAACGTTCATTTAGAAACAGATTTCAGTTTGTACTAAATGCAGAACTTTATTCATCAGCTAAAAATATGCAAGTAAATAAATAATGGTGCTCTTCTGAACTTTACCATCCATGAGACAGAAAAAGTAAAGTTATTCAATTTCTGTGACCTTAGCATCAAGTTATTGTATGTCACTACACTGCACACATGCCTTTTATTTTCCCCCTTACTTATATATGGTGTGGGTTGACTTTGGGACTTTTAAACAAGACAGTACTTTCTGACTGGCTTTTGCATACTGTTTTAGAAAATCACATCTTGCACATAACCTGGTCAGGTAGGCTACCAGTGGTTAACATTTTTACAACTTACAAAAATTACATTTTACCAATCACAATTGATATGCTTAAAATTGTACTTATTTAATGTATTGAACAAAAAACTGGCTTACTAGCAATAACAGAAAATGTAAGCTATAAGATCTAGATTAGATCTTTGTCTTTAATTTTAATTAAATTAATTGTAATACTCTTGAGTTATTATTCTAAGAAAAAAATCTCAACTGTTTTTATATAAAAAAAACAAAAACAAAGCAAATCCCAACATTGGTATAGTGTATACTTAAGTATACTACAGTATTAACTGCATTTTTTCACGAGGCAGCGGTCCACAATGAAAGTGGATCACAGGTATTTAGGAATGCAATAGAAATTTTTCTGCCACAAATTTAAGTGAATAAATTGTTTTGTTTTCCCGTAAAATATTAGCAATTTTTTTTTCTATATATAGTTATCTAAGGGAGTGTCACTTATCTCCCTTGGCTTTTATTTTTAAAGCCTGGGCTACGTCATTGCTTTAAAATCAATCACTGGTTTCAGGTGATGAGATTTCAGCTTTAGCATTGGCGATTTTGTAGAGGCACACCGATTGTTTATTTTTAAAATTATGTTTGTATGATTTATTTTCTTCCCTCTCAAGTGTAGTCATTGATTCGGGTGTGGTTGTCTGTTTCGTACCCACTCGTCTGATTGTTAATGAGTTCTTGCTCTTCTGCTTCAAGAATGGTATTTTTCCCGTGACCGTTGTGAGCGTTTTTCAGGGGAAGTAACGAGATTGTTGTGTCTTTGCAAGATAGGTTAGAGTTCCTTCCCCTGATAATTCCGTTGCCGTTGTCACGAGAATCAGGGAGTTGCGTCACGGACGCGTTCGACTCCCGAGGGCGCGAGAGGTAAGTGGCAAATGTGGCGTTGTGGCTGCTGTTTCGACTCTTGGGCAAGTGGTTAAATCTTGTAATCCTGAATCTCTGCCATTTTTTCCTGAACTCGCTTTGTACCTGTTACAATTATAAATCTGACTTTACTTTTGAGCTTACCATAAGAAAAAAAGCTGCATAATCTAGAGTTATATAGTAAGGGTCTTCCATTTATAACATATGCTTTATTTGACATTTTATACCCACCCTCCCCATTGTCGCACCTTGTAAAAAAATGACAGACGCCCCCTTCCAAATAAATAGCTCTTGTAATTGTTCTAATTTTAAAACGGCTATCTCTTTTTTTTAATTTTAACTAATCATTAGCTAAAGTGATCAGTTCTCATTACAATTTATGCAACAACAAAAAAAAAAAAAAAATAAAAAAAAATAGCGTAATAACTGTTAACTCAATTTGAAAAATACTTTCTACAATGGAAACTCGAACTTTCTAGAACCCTCATTATCAGAGTCTTCCAGGCATCTCTTCGAAGAAAGTCTACCGACCCCCGCACGAAATGGAATTTATATAGAAAATATATACTTTTAGCAGTGGCCACCTCCCCCCCCCCCCCAAAAGTCTCAAGTGCCCCCTCCCCCCCCCCTCCCGGAGAAAAAAAGTCTGGAAGAAACACTGCTCACAATACCCCTCGTAACACTTTTTCACCAAAGTTCAGCTACCCCCCCCCCCCCTTTATGAGTGCGACGTCATTTATGGACGACCCCCTAATAGTGTTTATTAAGTTGTGCGGAATTCGTCTCTAGATTTTTTAATCCTAAATTTAAAAAGTAGATGTAAGTATAGTTTAAAAAAATCGAATAGCCATTGATATCTAGAAATTCGAAATAAAACTAGGATGAACAGAAGAAAGACAAGCTATTCTTTATTCCTCCGTTTGAATTTAAATCTAATATGAATTTAAACTAATATTTAAACGGCACTATTGTAAAAAACAAGGAATTTTTTTTACCTCTCCATTCATGAAGCAGAATAAAACTGACACAAAAAATCCCTGGGGACAAGAAAAGAAACAAAATGGCGTGAGCTTTGATTAGTTTAGTCATGTGTGAGGATAAATGACATTTATTCTCAAGGACGATCTTTAACGGCCTTTTTAATAGACACAAAACAAGTTATTTTAAAATTTCGTCATGTTTACGTGCAGTGTCAATTAACTCGATTAAAAAAATCATTATGGTGATTAAAAATTAAATATAGATGGATTTAGATTGAGAGAGGGGGGGGGGGGGGTTCTTGACTTCTGTGTAAATTTCCGATTCCATATAACACAATCAAACAAATTACGAAACATTATATATTTTTATATAAAATATCAGTAAAAATACAATAATTAAAATATTTGTTTAAATTTAATATGCCTTCATTTTTCCGAGATATCTTTCAAAAGTTTACGGGGTGGCTAAGCTAAACTGAGAAACAGGAAACAGAGTAAAGTACCACTTCCGGTTTTCGGAAATAGCTGATAGACACATACTTGTATGATCTGACACTAACATATGCATATTTTTCCTAAACCGGTTCTCAAGTTATTGAGCTCTCTCACACACAGACATACAGACAAACATATGCAAAGAGACAGAATTGTAAAACTGCTGTTTTCCGACAATAATTACAAACCTTCTCCTAGAGAAAGACAATAATGGCCTTCTCACTTGGACTGAATAATAAAAAATGACCTCACCTCGACTTAGTTAAAAATGACATTCTCACCTGGACTGAGCTAAAAAACATCACCTGGACTGAATTAAAAAAATGACCTCACCTTGACTGAATTTAAAAAAAATGGCCTCACCTGGACTGAGCTAAAAATGACCTCCTCACCTGGACTGAGCTTAAAATGACCCCATGTGGACTGAGCTAAAATGTCCTCACCTGGACAGCTAAAAAATGACCTCTTCGCCTTGACTGAGTAAAAAAGACCTCTTCACCTTGACTGAGCTAATAAAAATGACCTCCTCACCTGGACTGAGCTAAAAATGACCCCATGTGGACTGAGCTAAAATGCCCTCACCTGGACAGCTAAAAAATGACCTCTTCGCCTTGACGGAGCTAAAATGACCTCTTGACCTTGACGGAGCTAAAAATGACCTCACCTTGACTGAGTAAAAAAATAACCTCTTCACCTTGACTGAGCTAAAATGACCTCACCTGGACTGAGCTAAAAATGACCTCTTCACCTTGACGGAGCTAAAAATGACCTCACCATGACTGAGTAAAAAATGACCTCCTCACCTTGACTGAGCTAAAAAAAAATGACCTCTTCACCTTGACTGAGCTAAAAAAATGACCTCACCTTGACTGAGTAAAAAAATGACCTCATCTCGACTGAGCTAAAAAAAATGACATCTTCACCTTGACTGAGCTAAAAAAATGACCTCTTCACCTCGACTGAGCTAAAAAAAATGACATCTTTCACCTTGACTGAGCTAAAAATGACCTCTTCACCTTGACTGAGCTAAAAAAATGACCTCCTAGACTGAGCTAAAAAAATGACCTCAATTCGACTGAGCTAATAAAAAATGACCTCCTCACCTGTACAGAGTTGAAGAACATCTCAAAATAAAGCTGGACCAGCTCGGCTGTGGGGTTGACGTTGTTGGGCAGCCACGCGAACACGATGAAGTGGACACCGAACAACGGGATTAAAACCAGGGTAGATTTGGCAGTTTTCTGGGAATACACGTGTACACACGGTCTAATTAGATAGGCATGTGTCTACAGTAGTCATTCCAGAGTTTATTGGTTATGTATGTGTTATAGTTGCAGAGGCGTAGCGACCCTTCCCGGCGCCCGGGGACAAACTTTCAATTTGGCGCCCCCTCTGGAGCAAATTTTCAATTTGCACCCCCCTCAAACTATTTATAATTTGTTTTTCCAACCCATTTTGGCGCCCCCTAAGGTCGGCGCCCGGGGACATATGTACCCCCCCCCCGCCCCCCCCCCTCGCTACGCCTCTGTGTGTGTGTGTTATATTTTTAAGGTCTTGTATTTTTAATACTCAGAGCAATCTTTCAGGTATCACTTTGTGGGGGAAAAGAGATCTACCCCCCCCCCCCCCCACCTGAACACATCTAACGCCCCCCTCCCACCGGACGAAATGAAAATATGATTTGTATAAAAAATATATACTGCTTACTGCCCCCACCGGAAATTTTAAAGCCCCCCCCCCACCCCCCGCATCCCTCCCGGAGAAATGTGTTAAAAAAAAACCCGCACCGGTCGAGTTGTGGACCCTAATGCTAAGTGCGGATGTGAGCCAGACCTTATAAGTGGATCGGTGGGGTGGAAGCAATGCTTCTTTCAGTCATTTTTCTTCAGAAAGGGGAAGGGGGGAGGGGGAATTAAAACTCGAAACGGGGGAGGGGAATAATGGGTTAGTATATAAATTCTATTTCATTCGGGGGTTGGTAACGTGCTTGGATGGGTATGTGGTGGGGGGGGGGGGCGACTGAAAGAAACTAAGTGGAATCAAGGCTAACTAGTTTAGAGGACACCCCACCCTAAGGTCTTATTCTGGAAGCGGGGTTTTCTGTCGACAGGGTGAAGTCTGAGAGGTGTTTCTGTACTGCAAGCAAGAATTTACAACTGATACATATCTGCATTGGCTCTAAATAGTTAACGATCTAAAATACATTCAACGTGTCTGATATATGTGCAGTTCATATTTTTGAAAGATGATTATAAAAAATCTAAGGATATTGGATATATTTCGGCTAAATAAGAAAAACGTTAATTTTGATAAATTTATCGGTGAAAACTAAGACCGACGTATAATTACACCGACGTATAAGATGGTTACTGGGAAAAAGAAGAGGGAGGATCAACATTCAAACGGAGGAGATGTTTGAAAGAGAGATAGGACTTATACCCTGAGTAAGTGGACCAGTAGGGGGTGGGTGGGGGGGGGGGGAGAGATGGCG